CCTGGGCGCTGTCCCTCAGCTCTTCAGCTCAAGGCTAGCGCTCTACCACTTGAGCCACAGCGCCACTTCCGGCTTTTTTCTTTTTGCTTATGTGGTGCTGAGGAATCGAACCCAGGGCCTCAGGCATGCAAGGCAAGCGCTTTAACCACTGAGCCACTTTCTCAGCCCCTGTATGGTTTTTTTTTTATATATGTTTCTGGATTCTGTTGGCTAAAATTTTATTAAGGAGCTTTACATCTGTGTTCAAGGAGATTGGTCAGTAGTGCTCTTTTTTGTTGTTGTTGTTGAGTTTTGCCTGGTTTGGGGATGTGATATTGGCTTCATAGAATGAGTTTGGGGTTGCTCCCTCTGTTTCTATTTCTTGGAAGAGTTTGAGGAGTATGGGTATTAGTTACTCTTTAAAGGTCTTATAGAATTCCGTTGTGAATCCATCTGGTCCTGGGCTTTTCCTTGTTGGAAGACTTCTGATTGCTTCCTCTATCTCATTGTAAGATATTGGCATATTTAATTGATTTATTTCCCCTTAGTTCAGTTTGGGCAATTTGTATTCCTCTAAAAATGCATCCATGGGGCTAGGAAGGTGGCTTAGTGGTAGAGTGCTTGCCTTGCATGCATGAGGCCCTGGGTTCAATTCCTCAGCACCACATAAGCAAAAAGAAAAAAGCCGGAAGTGGTGCTGTGGCTCAAGTGGTAGAGTGCTAGCCTTGAGCTGAAGAACTGAGAGACAATGCCCAGGCCCAGAGTTCAGGCCCCACGACCGAACCCCCCCAAAAAAAACAACAAAAAATAAAAATAAATAAAAAATAAAAAAATAAAAATGCATCCATTTCTGCTAGGTTTTTCTTCCTTAGTGAGTATAGATTCTGGAAGTAATTCTTTGTAATTGTTTGGATGTCTTGGGTATTTGTTTTAAGTGTTCCTGTGGTATCCCTGATCTTATTGATTTGGGTCTCCTCTCTTCTTTTTTTAGTTAATCTTGCCAGAGGTCCATCAATTTTATTGATCTTGTCAAAAAATGGCTTTTTGTTTTATTAATTTTACTTGTAGTTTTCTTAGTCTCTATCTCATTAATTTCAACTCTTTTGGTTATCTCACTCCATCTAGTAACTTTGGGTTCCATTTTTTCTTGCTTTTCTAGCAGTTTTAATTGCAACATGAGATTATTTACTTGGTCTGTCTCTATTTTTTTTTTGCTGTGTGCACTGAGAGCAATAAATTTGCCCCTTGGGATTGCTTTTGCCCTGAACCACTGGCAAAAAAGAAAAAGAAAAAGAAAGAAATGTTCTCAAGACACTTTTTTGGGGGTACCAGTCCTGGTGCTTGAACTCAACCCCTGAGTGCTGTCTTTGAGCTACACCTCCACTTTCAGCTTTTTGTGGTCATTAACTGGAGATAAGAGTCTCACCAACTTTCTTGCCTGGGCTGGCTGCCAACCAGGATCCTCAAGACCTCAGCATCTTGGGTAGCTAGGATTGCAGGTATGAGCCACTGGTGCCATAGCTGATGTATCCGTCATTCTAATATACAAAGAAAGTTGAGATTGGGAGGACTGAAGTTCTAGACCCGCCTGGTTAGAAAAATCCACAAGACTTCATCTCACTAGAGAGGCTAGATGCAGTGGTGCATGCCTGTGATCCCACCAATTAGAAGCCTGAAATAGGTGAATCAAGGTCCAGGCATATACCTGGGCAGGAATTGAGGCCTTATATTTAAAATAAACCATGGAAATCCAGATACTAGTGGCTTACACCTGTAATCCTAGTTACTTAGTAGGTTGAAATCTGAGGATCATGATTCAAAGCCAGCCCAGACAGGAAAAGTCCATTGAGACTCTTTTTTTTTGGGGGGGGGGGGGGGGGCGGTCGTGGGGCCTGAACTCTGGGCCTGGGCGCTGTCCCTCAGCCCTTCAGTTCGAGGCTAGAGCTCTACCACTTGAGCCACAGTGCTACTTCCAGCCTTTTCTGCTTATGTGGTGCTGAGGAATCGAACCCAGGGCCTCATGCATGCAAGGCAAGCACTCTATCACTGAGCTACCTTCCCAGGCCCCATTGAGACTCTTATCTCCAATTATCCACCAAAAAAAGCCAGAGGGGAGCTATGGCTCAAGTGGTAGAGTGCCAGCCTTGAGTGAAAAAGCTAAGGGACAGTGCTCAGACCCTTAGTGCAAGCTCCAGGACCAAGAGATTCAGAGTTAGTATTTGTGGTTATTCAGCCCCCATGGGTGGGTTTCTAGAATGCCTAAAGGCTTGCCAGGAAAATATGATCTGTGACAAATAGGTATAGGTATACAGTGTGTTCTAGGCACTGTTTAAGGTGTGTGTGTGTGTGCTTTTAGATTTAATTTCTCCTATTTCTACAGGAGGTCAACACTACTTTTTATGTATCTATTTTTATTTATTTTGTTGGTTATGGGGCTTGAACTCAGCCTAGGTGTTGTGGCTACCACTTTAAGCCACAGCTCCACTTTTGGTTTTCTGATGGCTAATGGGAGATAAAGGTGTCACAGACTTTCCTGCCTGGGCTGTCTTTGAACCACATTCCTCAGATCTAAGAGTCCTGAGTAGCTAGGATTACAGGCAAGAACCACTAGTGTCTGACTTCCATAACTACTTTTTTTGGGGGGGGAAGGGGGGGACTTGAACTCTGGGCCTGGGCACTGTCCCTCAGCTCTTCAGCTCAAGGCTAATGCTCTACCACTTGAGCCACAGCACCATTTCCAGTTTTCTGGTGGCTTATCAGAGATGAGAGAGATCCCCAGATGTCAGCCTCCTCAGTAGCTAGGATTACAAGCATGAGTCACTGGCACCCGACTCAGAACTACTTTTTAGTTGTCTTATCGGTGAGAAAACTGAGGCTCAAAGCTTAAGCACCATATCAAAGTTCACCTACATGATAAATGACAGGACTGGAATTTCAGGCACAGGATGTGTCTACTGGGAGCTCAGTTTGTGCTTGGAGTATAATGTCCACCTGCTCAGTACATCCATTTGAAAGAACTTCCATGTCTGATCAGTTCTCTGTGACTGCTATCAAGGGCCCAGCCCTCCCTCTTCTGGCCACTATGTGAAACTGCAGCTTCTTTATTAATCACAGCTTCATCTTGGTCCATTGCTGACCTCAGACCAAGATAAAAATCTTTTAAGATATCCAATCCTGGTTGTAATTAAAAGTTATCTAAAGGTATTTTATCTGAGCTGGGAAGGTGGCTCAGTGGTAGAATGCTTGCCTTGAATGCATGAAGCCCTGGGTTCGATTCCTGAGGACCACATAAACAGCAAAAGCCAGAAGTGGCTCTGTGGCTCAAGAGGTAGAGTGCTAGCCTGAGCTGAAGAGCTGAGGGTCAGCACCCAGGCCCAGAGTTCAAGACCCACAACCGACAAAAGAAAAAAAAAGGTATTTTATCCAGTACTAATGGGTCAGATCTACAATCCTAGCTACTCATGATGCTGAGAGTTTGAAGCCAGCCTGGGGAGACAAATCTGAGAGACTATCCTCCAATTAACCATCAAAAAGCCAGAAGTAGAACTGTAGCTCAAATGCAAAGTTCTATCCTTAAGAAAAAAATCCAAAGCCGGGTGCTGGTGGCTCATGCCTGTAATCCTAAAGCCAGAAGTAGAACTGTAGCTCAAATGCAAAGTTCTATCCTTTAAAAAATCCAAAGCCGGGTGCTGGTGGCTCATGCCTGTAATCCTAGCTACTGAGGAGGCTGAGATCTGAGGACTGCGGTTCAAAGCCAGCCCGGACTCTTATCTCCAACAAACCACCAGAAAACCGGAAATGGCTCTGTAGCTTAAGTGGCAGAGCGCTCGCCTTGAGCTGAAGAGCTGAGGGACAGCTCTCAGGCCCGGAGTTCAAGCCCCATGACAGACAAAAAAAAAAAAAAAAAATCCAAGAAAGCATGAGGTCCTGGGTTCAAGCCCTAATACTGGCACAAAGACAATAATGATTGCAAGCTGAGTTGTGGCTGAAATGGTAAAGAGCCAGCCTTGAGTGAAAAAATAAAGGTTTTTCTAAGGTCATGTCTATAACAATGAGATTGAAGGATATTGTTTTGCACTTAGGAACCTTTACAAGAAACTGAATTAGAGATTTTTTTTTCTTTTCTTTTCTTTTGCCAGTTCTGGGGGACTCTGTGTTTATTCATGTAAAGGTCTTTTGAGTGTGTGTGGCCAGTATTAGGGCCTGCACTCAGAGCCTGGGCACTGTTCCTGAGCTTTTGGGCTCAAGTCTAGAGCTCTACCACTTGAGCCATGTGTCCATTTCCAGCTTTTTGCTGTTTAGTAGGACTTACTTTTCTTTTTCGTTCGTTCGTTCCTTCCTCTTTTTTCTTTTTTTTTTGGGGGGGGGGGGTCCGGTTGTGGGGCCTGAACTCTGGGTCTGGGCGCTGTCCCTCAGCTCTTCAGCTCAAGGCTAGCGCTCTACCACTTGAGCCACAGCGCCACTTCCGGCTTTTGTCTTTTTGCTTATGTGGTGCTGAGGAATCGAACCCAGGGCCTCATGCATGCAAGGCAAGTGCTCTACCACTGAGCCACCTTCCCAGCCCCTTTCCTTTCTTTCTCCTTCCTTCCTCCCTCTCTCTTGCTGTCTGTCTCTCTTTCTGCCAATGTCGCCTCTTCCTTTTTGTCGGCCGTGGGGCTTGAACTCAGGGCCTTGCACTTACTTGGCTTTTTTTGCTCAAGGCTGGAAATCTACCACTCGAGAGTCACTGCCACTTTTTGTCTGTCTGGTCTGGTCTCCAGCTTGAACCCTCAGATATCAGCCTCCAGAGTAGCGTCCTTTCCAAGCACGAGCCACCCGCCCTGGGGACTCGCAGCTGCACGCCGTGTCCTCAGGGGCTTTCGTGTCACCTCCCCCACTCTATGTGGGCTGTCACAGACTGGCACACGCGCTGCTCGCCGGCCAGATGCTGCCCACTCAGCAAACACGCTCGCAGGCAGGGCTTCCCGCCCCCGGAAGTGCTGGACAGGCTTGGCCTCCCCAGCAGCCGGAAGGCGGGGGCGGGGCTTGAGTCCAGAGATCCGCGACTTTGGGGGCCCCATTGCGCACGCGCAAACGAGCGGGAGGGCAGCCCCAGCCAGGTAAGCCCACCAGAAGGTCCGCACGTCCCCTTTAAGATCAGTTCCTGTTCCCTTGAGCAGAAGTGTTTTCTTGGTTGGCTTGTCAGGCTAACTAGATGACCCATGACCTCTCCCCCGTCCTCAGGCTCTGCAGGCCCAAGCTGGATCCCCAGCACCCGCTCATTCCCCACCCCCCGCCAGGCAGGCTGGGGACTGAGCTGCTTCCTGCCCGGCCCTGTATTTTGCTGCTTGAGTGTAGGTCTGTGTTTAAAGTAGGATTTTCCCTGTGCATGTCAGGATTACCCTGAGAAACTTAATTTGCCACCGTCTGCCACAGCCGCTTGCAGACTCTCCTGTTGTCGCTCATTCACCTAGGGTCCGCCCACAAGCACAGGCATTTGTTTTGGAGACAGGGTTTTTCTCTATTGACCCAAGCTGGCCGCCAAAACATAATCCTCCTGCCTTCGCCTTCCAGATTCTGGGATCACAGATGTGCCCCACCATGCCCAATTGGTATGTGTGTGTATTAACTGGGGCTTGAACTCACACCCTGGGCTTTGTCCTTTAGCTTTTTTTCCCCCTAGTCCTGGGGCTTGAGCTCAGGCTGAGCACTGACCCTGAGCTGCTTTTGCTCAAGGCTAGCACTCCACCACTTGAGCCACAGCGCCACTTCGGGCTTTTTCTGTGTATTGAGGAATTGAACCCAGGGCTTCATGCATGCTAGGCAAGCACTCTACCACTAAGCCACATGCCTGGCTTATGTCCTTTAGCTTCTTCACTACAGTCTGGGTTTTGTTTTGTGTTTTTTTTTTGGTCGGTCGTAGGGTCTGAACTCTGGGCCTGGGCGCTGTCCCTCAGCTCTTCAGCTCAAGGCATGCAGTCTACCACTCAAGTTTTTCTGGTGGTTTATTGGAGATATGAGTCTCACAGACATTTCTGCCCGGGCCTGACTTTGAAGCATGATCCTCAGATCTCAGCCTCCTGAGTAGCTGGGATTACACGTGTGCGCCTCCAGTGCCTGGCAGTTCTGGCTTTTTGGTAGATAATAGGAGATAAGAGTCTCAAAGACTTTCCTACCTGGGCTGTCTTTGAACTGTGACTCTTCTGAGTAGCTTCCCAGCTACAAGCATGAGCCACTGGCCCTTCTATCTTATTTTGTTTTCAGATATCTGGAGATTCCAGTTACTATCAAGGTGGGATGCTCCAGTTTGTTCTTGGGCAAGGAGACCCCATTTTGCAGCTGGGTTTTGGAAAGGGCTAATGGCATTGAGCTGTGGCTGCAAAGCTCCCAGGAGGCAGTGGCATGTCCTCAAGGCCTGGAGAAGTGCTGGCTTCTCCCTGTTTCCAGGGCACCGTTGTCCCTGGAGAGGAGCGGGAAGCCCTGTGGACCCAGAAGTGAAAGTGTTTCTGGAAGAGAACACCGAAGTCACCAGCACTGGCAGCCTCACCCCCGAAATCCAGCTACGACTTCTGACCCCCAAATGCAAGTTCTGGTGGGAGAGAGCTGACCTGTGGCCTTACAGTGATCCTTACTGGGCAATCTACTGGCCAGGAGGCCAAGCCCTGTCTAGGTACTGCCCTATTGGAATGGGGGTCGGGGACCGCCGCTCATCCTTTCTCCTCTCAGCCCCTCCAAGGCCTCATTCTCCATCTACCATACTTCATCAAAACCCCAAAGTCACCGAGGCTCACTGAGCCCTCCACTTGGTGGTGGTTTGGATGGTAACCTAGGGGAGGGTTTTATTGTGGGAAGAGAAAAGTCATCTTCTCTTAAGATTAAAAAAAAAAAAAAGCCTCCTACAGTGGAGCATGGTAGTACATGCCTGTAGCATTTGGAAAGTGGAGAAAGGAGCAGCATGAGGTTGAAGCCAGCCTGAGCTATGTGGCGAGACCTCAAAAACTCAAAACTAACAACAAACAATTAGACAAGCAGGAAGCCTCGTCCATACTTGGCTTTGGTATTTGCCAGAATGAGGAGGTCTGAAGCCTCCCAGAGGATGGATTTTCAGTTGCCATCAAGAGAGAAGACAGGAATGATCACCAGTAAATTCCCAGGGAGCCAGAGTGACCTCCACAATGCTCTCCGTTGGTCCTCTCCAGGCTTCACACAGGCATAGATGTAGATTTATTAAAAAGAAAAAAGAGCTGGGTCCTGGTGGCTCACCCCTCTAATTCTATCTACTCAGGAGGCTGAGATCTGAGGGTCGAGGTTCAGAGCCAGCCTGGGCAAGAAATTCTGTGAGACTCTTATGTCCAATAAACCACTCAGAAAACTGGAAAGTGGCACTATGGCTCAAGGAGTAGAGCGCTCGCCTTGAGCTCAAGAGCTGAAGGACAGTGCCCAGGCCCAAAGTTCAGGCTCCACGATCCACAAAAAAAAAAGAAAGAAAAAAGAAAAGAAAAAGCTAGGCACTGGTGGTTCATGCCTATAGTCTTAGCTACTCTGGAGGCTAAGATCTGAGAATCGCAGTTTAAAACCTGCCCATGCAGGAAAGTCCAGGAGACTCTTCCACTAGAAAACCAAAGTGGCACTGTGGCTCAGTGATAGAGAAATAGCCTTGAGTGAAAGAGCTCAGGGACGGCGCCCAGGCCCTGAGTTCAAGCCCCACAATGAACAACAACAAAAAAAGTAGACACTCTTTCCCCGCCCCTCAAAATAACAAAACAAAACCCATGCAAATCTCCTGTGTTTGTGTGAGTACTAGTACTGGGGCTTTTCCTTTTCTTGGCTCTTTCATTCAAGGATACTCTATCACTTGAGCTGCAGTTCTATATCTACCTCTTTGGTGGGTAATTGGAGCTAAGAATCTAATAGACTTTTCTGCCTGGGCTGAATTGGAATTGTGATCCTCAGATCCTAGCCTCCGCAGTAACTAAGATTACAGGCACAAGCTACTGGTGCCTGGCTTGTTGTTTTGTTTTTTCTTTTGTTGGTCCTGGAGTTTGAACTCTAGGCCTGGGTGCTGTTCCTGAACTCTTTCACTCAAGGCTACCTCTCTATCATTTTGAGCCCCAGCACCACTTTCGGTTTTCTAGTGATTATCTGGAGATAAGAGTCTCAAGGACTTTCCTGCCTGGGCTGGCGTTGAACTGCAGTCCTCAGATCTCAGCCTCCTGAGTAGCTAGGATTATAGGCGTGAGTCAATGGTACCCAGCTTTGGCTGTTGTTGTTGTTTTGTATAGTCCTTCCAGAACTTTCCCCATATCCCTGAGATGTTTTTTTCTTCTTTTTGAATCTAGGTATCTCTTGGATAATCCTGAAACTGTGAGAGGAAAGTCGGTGTTAGACCTTGGGTGCGGGTGTGGAGCCACAGCCATGGCTGCCAAGATGAGTGGGGCCTCAAGGATTGTGGCCAATGACATAGACCCTAGTAAGGATTCCATATTGCAAAACATTGAAAACTTAATCCTTTTTTTTCTTTCAGGATATAAATATGTGCAGACATTCAGCAACAGGATCTCATGTAGTTCTGGGTGGCTTTGAAGTTGTTATGTCACCTAGACCAGAATCAAACTCTGTGTGTGCATGTGTGTGTGTGTGCGTGTGTGTGTTTGCGTGCGCACGCGCATACGCATGTGCTTTAGTCCTGGGGTTTGAACTGATGGCTTGGCCTCTGTCCCTGAGGATTTTTGCTCAAAGCTAGCACTCTTGCACTTGAGCCAGAGCTCCATTTCTAGCTTTTGGGTAGTTAGAGATGAGAGTCTTATGGACTCTTCCCTGCTGAGGCCAGCTTTGAGCATCTTCACATTTCAGCTACCTGAGTTGTTAGGTAATGGACACAAGCCATCAGCATCTGGCTCATAGTGTTTATTTTTATTTGTATAAGTACGGGAACTTGAACTCAGAGCCACATGTTCTTACTTGGCTCTTTTTTTTGTTTTTTTCCTGCTAATCCTGGGGCTTGTACTCAGGACTTGGGCACTAATCCCTGAGCTTCTTTTGCTCAAGGCTAGCACTCTACCACTTGAGCTATAGCCAGTTTTGTTTTGTTTTTTCTATTTATATGGTACTGAGGAATTGAACCTAGGGCTTCATGCATGCTAGGTAAGCACTCTACCACTAAATCGCATTCGCAATCCTTTTTTTTTTTTTTGCTGGTCCTGGGGCTTGAATTGAACCTGAGCACTGTTCCTGAACTTCTTTTGCTCAAGGCTAATGCTCTATCATTTGAGCCACAGGACCACTTCCAACATTTTGTTGTTGTTGTTGTTGTTGGTCTTGGGGCCTGAACTCTGGGCCTGAGCACTGTCCCTCAGCTCTTCAGCTCAAGGCTAGCACCCTACCACTTGAGCCAAAGCGCCACTTCCAGCTTTTTTTGTTTATGTGGTGCTAAGGAATCGAACCCAGGGCCTCATGCATGCAAGGCAAGCACTCTACCACTGAGCCACCTTCCCAGCCCCATATATATTTTTTTTTGTTGTTGTTGTTTTGGGTCCGGTTGTGGGGCCTGAACTCTGGGCTTGGGCGCTGTCCCTCACTCTTCAGCTCAAGGCTAGCACTCTACCACTTGAGCCACAGCGCCACTTCCAGCTTTTTTCTTTTTGCTTATGTGGTGCTGAGGAATCAAACCCAGGGCCTCAGGCATGCAAGGCAAGCGCTGTACCACTGAGCCAACTTTCCAGCCCCCCAGCATTTTTTTGGTAATTTATTGGCAATCTAAGAGTCTCACACTGACTTTTCTGCCCAGGTTAGCTTTGAACTATGATCCTCAGATCTCAATCTTCTGAGTTTGCTTGGCTTTTATAATCAAAGCTGTAGCTCTACAACTTGAGGCACATCTCTACTCTTTTTTTTCTCCAGTCCTGGGGCTTGAACTCAGAGTCTGGGTACTGTCCTTTAGCTGCTTTTTGCTCAAGGCTAGAGCTCTAGCACTTGACACAGCACCACTTCCGGCTTTTTCTGTTTATGTGGTACTGAGGAATCAAACCAGGACTTTAAGCATGCTAGGCAAGCACTCTACCACTAAGTCATATTGCAGTGCCTACTTCAGCATTTTGATGGTTAATTGTAAACAAGAGTCTCAGATTTGTCTGCCCAGGCTGGCTTGGAACTGTGATACTCAGATCTCAGTAGCTAGAATTACAGGTGTGAGCCACTGGCACCCAGCATTTATGTTATAATGTTTAAGTAGTTGTACAAAGGAGTTGTCACTTAACAAAGCAGTTTATGAATACAATGTGTCTTGTTCAATGTCACTCTTATCTATTAGAATTTTTTTCTTTTCTTTTTTTTTTGGGTCCGGTCATGGAGCCTGAACTCTGGGCCTGGGCGCTGTCCCTCAGCTCTTCAGCTCAAGGCTAGAGCTCTACCACTTGAGCCACAGCGCCATTTCCAGCTTTTTCTGCTTATGTGGTGCTGAGGAATTGAACCCAGGGCCTCATGCATGCAAGGCAAGCACTCTACCACTTCCCAGCCCTAGAATTTTTTTTCTTATGCCAGTATTAGAAGGTGAACTCGGAGCCTCTTGATCTTACTTGACTTTTTCCTTCAAACCTACAACTTGAGCCACACTTCCACTTCTGGCTTTTTGCTGATTAACTGGAGATAAAGAATCTTAGAGTTTGTCTACCAGGCTGGGTTGAGACCTCAATCCTCACATGTGAGCTTCCTGAGTAGCTAGGATTACAGGCATGAACCACAACACCCACCATATTTGGAATAGTACGTTTTTTTTTTTTGGTCAGTCATGGGGCTTGAACTCTCGGCCTGGGCACTGTCCCTCAGCTCTTCAGCTCAAGGCGAGCATTCTACCACTTAAGCCACAGCGCCACTTCCAGTTTTCTGGTGGTTTATTAGAGATAAGAGTCTTATGGCCTTTCCTGCCCAGGCTGGCTTTGAACCACGATCCTCAGATCTTAGCCTCCTGAGTAGCTAGGATTATAGGCATGAGCCACCCACGGCTGGCAGTACATGTTTTAATACTGGGATACATTTTAGTGTTCTTTCTTCCTCCCCCCTCCTCCTCTCTTTCTCTGGGTCAGTTGTGGGACTTGGCTTGAACTCAGGACCTGGGTGCTGTCCTTGATCTCTTTCACTCAAGGCTAGCACTCTACTTCTTTGAGCCATAGTTCAACTCCCAATTTTCTGGAGGTTAACTGGAGATCAGAGTTCTCTTGGCCCGGTATTGGGGGCTCATACCTGTAATCCTAGCTACTCAGGAGGCTGAGATCTGAGGATCACAGTTCAAAGCCAGATGGAGCAGAAAAGTCTGTGAGACTCTTATCTCCAATAAACCACCAGAAAACCGGAAGTGGTGCTGTGGCTCAAGTGGGAGAGCATTCTCCTTGAGCTGAAGAGCTGAGAGACAGCACCCAGACCCAGAGTTCAAGTCCCAGGACCCCCCCCCCCCCCCAAAAAAAAAAAAAAGAGTTCTCAAAGACTTTCCTGCTCTGGCTTTTTTTTTTTTTTTTTTTTTCCCCAGTCCTGAGCATTCAGGGCCTGGGCATTGTTCCTGAGTTGCTTTTGCTCAAGGCTAGCACTCTACCTTGAGCAATATCGCCACCTCTGGCTTTTTCTGTGTATGTGGTACTGAGGAATCAAACCCAAGGCTTCATACATGCGAGACAAGCCACTAAGCCATATTCCTAGCCCCCCTGGCTGGCTTTGAACTGCAATCCTCAGATCTCAGTCTCTTGAGTAGCTAGGACTACAAGTATGAGCCACCAGTGGTCTGGCCTTATCTTTAAAAAACAAAAAATCCAAAAACCATTTTTACCAGATGATGGAGGCTCACATTTGTAATCCTCGCTACTTAGGTGCCCGAGATCTGAGGATCACCGTTTGAAGCCCAGGCAGAAAAGTCCATGAAACTCTCATCTACAACTAATCAGCAAAAAGCCACAAATGGAGCTCTGCCTAAGTGATGCAGTGCTAGCCTTGAGCAAAAAGTCTTGACAGTGTCTAGGCCTTGAGTTCAAGCCCCAGGATTAACACCAAAAAGGGGTGGAGGGAGAGGTGGGTTAAATTGTTTTTTAAATAAGGTTTTAGAATAGTCTATTGGTTTATATGCTAACCCATTAACTAATCATGATTTTTAAAGTTGCAGGAATGGCTGTTGCACTTAATTGTGAACTGAATTGTCTGAGTCCTTTCCCTATCTTAACTGAAGACATTTTGGATATGGAACAGGAGAAATGGGACCTGGTTGTCCTTGGAGATATGTTTTATGATGATGATCTTGCTGACAGACTCCATCAGTGGTTGAGGAGCTGCTCTCGGACCTATGGAACCCGAGTCCTGATTGGTGACCCTGGGCGCCCCCAGTTCAAAGGACACTGCATCCAACAGCAGCTGAGTAAAATAGTGGAGTTCTCCCTGCCTAAGCCCACCTGTCAGGAAAACAACGGACTGACAACAAGTGCAGTGTGGGAATTTTGGCCTTAAATTGTTGTCGTGCTTTTAAGTATCAATACAATCCTGTGTGGAAGACTGTAATCCTGGCAATTTGGGAGGCAGAGATGAGGGGATTGGGGTTCAAGGCCAGCCTGGTTTGAGACCAGTCCAAGCATAAAAGTTCTCAAAGCTAGGTACTGGTAGCTTATACCTGTAATCCTAGCTACTCAGAAGGCTTAGATCTGAGGATCCTGGTTTAAAGCCAGTCAGGACAGGAAAGTCTGTGAGACTCCTATCTCCAATTCACCATCAGAAGTGGAACTGTGACCCAAGTGGTAAGGAGCTAGCCTTGAGCTTTTTAAAAAAGCTCAGATAGTGCCCAGGACTGATGTGTGCACGCGTGCGCACTGATTTTGAACTGTGATTCTCAGATCTCAGCCTCCTTAGTAGCTAGGATTATATGTGTGAGCCCACCAGCACCCACTCTCAAGTTCTTTGTGACACTGAAACTGTATAAATATGCCCCTTATAAGCCTGACCAGAAGCTGTAATCACTAAATACATCACTAATAATATTATTATTTTGAACACACACACACACACACACACACACACACTGCAGCCAATGACTGTCATCCTCAACTACAGGGAAGTATAAATAGGAAGATCACAGATTATGGCAGCCTGAGCATACATCAAATGATGGAGAGATGTATTCTCCATCTGCTTGCTTGCTCAAGGCTGGGCTCTGTCTCTTGGGAGCCAGTTCCACTTTCAGCTTTTTACTGCCTTGCTAGAGATAATAGTCTCAAGGACTTTCCTGCCTGGGCTGCTTTTGGATCCAGATTCTCAGATCTCAGCCTCTTGAGCAGCTAGGATTATAGTTGTGAGCTATTGACATTTAGCCCAAGTATACTTCAAATAAACTTCATGAGCAGTATGAGAACTTTAACAGCGCACCCTCCTCTCTCAAGTTTGTCAGTCATGGGGCTTGAACTCAGGGCTAGGGTGCTGTCCCTGAGCTCTTTTGTTCAAGGCTAATGCTATACCACTTTGGGCTACAGCTCCACTTCCAGTTTTCTGGTGGTTAACTGAAGATAGAATCTCATGGACTTTTCCTGCACAGGCTGATTTTGAACTGTGATTCTCAGATCTCAGCCTCCTTAGTAGCTAGGATTATATGTGTGAGCCCACCAGCACCCACTCTCAAGTTCTTTATGACACTGAAACTTTATAATATGCCCCTTATAAGCCTGACCAGAAGCTGTAATCACTAAATACATCACTAATAATATTATTATTTTGAACAATCTATTGTCTGTTAGATCAGCTAAGAATAATGGGCTGGGAATGTGGCTTAGTGGTAGAGTGCTTGCATGAAGCCCTGGGTTCAGTTCCTCAATACCACATAAAGAGAAAAAGCTGAAAGTGATGCTGTGGTTCAAATGGTAGATCACTACCCTTGAGCAAAAGAAGCTCAGGGAAGCCCCAGGACAAGAAAGAAAGAAAGAAGGAAAGAAAGAAAGAAAGAAAGAAAGAGAGAGAGAGAGAGAAAGAGAAGGAAGGAAGGAAGAGGCTTTGAACCACGATCCTCAGATCTCAGCCTCCTGATTAGCAAGGTTTACAGGCATGAACCACTGGTGTCCTATTAAAGATTTTTTTTTTGTCCGTCCTGGGGCCTGAACTCTGGGCCTGGGTGCTGTCCCTCAGTTCTTCACTTCAAGGCTAGCGCTCTACCACTTGAGCCATAGCAACACTTCTGGCTTTTTTCTGCTTATTTGGTGCTGAGGAATCGAACCCAGGGCCTCATGCATGCAGGGCAAGCACTCTACCACTGAGCCATCTTCCCAGCCCTAAAGATTTTTGTTTCACAGATTGCTTTATATTGTGAAAATACCGTACAGAGGGGCCTATTAAATACCATACAGAGGGGACTATTAAAGATTTAACTTCAGCTTCTGATACCCTCCTTCCCTTCTGCTCTTGAGGCAGGTTCTTGCTATGCAGTCTGGGCTATAGCCCAAGCTAACCTTGAACTGTAGTCCTCCTGCCTTAGCCTCACAGGTGCTGGGGCTGTGGGTATGTGCCACTGTGGCCTTCCTTTATGTAGCTATATGTTTCTGAGATATAAGTACTTCTTCAAAAAGACCTATTTTTAAAATTTCTCAATTTTTCTTTGTGCATTATGAGGTGAGTTGAACTCGGGACCTGGGCACTATCCCTGAGCTTTTTCACTCAAGGCTACTGCTCTACTGCTTTGAGCCACGGCTCCACTTCTGGCTTTTTGGTGGTTAAAATTGGAGCAAAGAGTCTCATGGACTTTCTTGCCTGGGCTGGCTTTTAGCTGTAGTCCTCAGATCTCAGCTTTCTGAATAGCAAAGATTACAGGTGTGAGGCACCTGCCACTGGCACAAATGGACATTTCAATACTTTGTGAAGTAAGAGCCAGAAATAATCATGGCAGAATAATTATGCTTTTAGAAAGACTTTTACTTCAAAGAGTTCTAAGGTTTATTTGTACTAGTTAATATCTCAGAACAGCTCTAATACCTACAGAGGAGGGTATTTCAAGGGAAAACATCATTTGAAACTTACTTCACAAAACAGTCTCTTTCTCTGCCTGAGTTCATATCAGGATTAGCATTTTATAAACAAATACTTATCAAACAAATACAGACTCAAAGTCGTAGTAACATGTTTAGGAATCTGGCTAGCTTTACAGCACAAACTGCATTCATGGGGATTTAGTCTACTCTCTGAGAGCATAGCTTAAATAACACAATAGTCACGAAGTAATGCTAAATTAAGTGGGCAGCAGATATCTATTGACCCTATCTGGAAGGCAGAGTCCAGCTTTCATTGACAAATTTCCATAACCTCAGTACACAGTCCACGATACTTGCTTTAGTTTGTTTGGGCCTACTAACTGGTCCAAGACTTCTCGTGAGTGATCTATAAAAGAAAACAATGACAGTATATTAATTCACAATAATCAAAGGAAAACAATAATCAGATATAAGTTGATTATTTTTATCTCAGGGTTATTTAAAGTATTAAATATCACCATATATAGAGTGAGCATAGTATACCACTGAATAACTCATGAATTAATGGTAAGTCCTTAGTTTTTTTTTTTTAGTCATGGGGATTAAACTCAGGGTGTGGGCACTTTTACTCAAGGTTAGTGCTTTACCATTTTGAGCCACAGCTCCACTGCCAGTTTTCTGGCAGTTATTTGAAAATGAGTCTTACAGACTTTCCTACCCAGGCTTTGAACTGCAATCCTCAGATCTCAGCCTCTTGAGTAGCCAGGATTACAGGCCTGAGCCACCAGCATCCAGCTTGTTCCTGAACTTTTTTTTTTTTTGCCAGCCTGGAGCTTGTGCACTCTGGGCTTGGGCGCTGTCCCTGAGCGTTTTTGGCTCAAGGCTAGCATTCTACCATTTGAGCCACAGCACCAGTTCCAGCTTTTTTTTTTGCCAGTCCTAGGGCTTGAACTCAGAGTCTGGGCACTGTCCCTGAGCTTCTTTTGCTCAAGGCTAGCACTCTACCAGTTGAGCCACAGTGCCACTTCAGCTTTTTTTGTTTATGTGGTACTGAGGAATCGAACCCAAGGCTTCATGCATGCTAGGCACATACTCTACCACTGAGCCACATTCACAGTCTCCAAACGTTTTTGCACTACATTTGAACAGTGAACCTCCTGGCTTTTTTGTTTGTTTTGTTTTTAACTGGAGATAAAGAGTCTCACAAAATTTCCTGCCTGAGCTGACTTTGAACTGTAATACCTATATCTCAGCCTCCTAACTAACTAGGATTAACAGACATGAGCCACCAGCACCTGGCTTAAATAAAATTTTCTTTTTTTTCTGGTTTTGGGGCTTGAACACTGGGCCTGAGTGTTGTCCCTCAGCTCTTCAGGTCAAAGCTAGCGCTCTACTACTTGAGCCACAGCACCACTTGCCATTTTCTAGTGGTTTATTGGAGATGAGTCTCACGTACTTTCTTGCCCAAGATGGCTTTAAACCGAAATCCTCAGATCTCAGCCTCCTGAGTAGTTAGGATTACAGGTATGAGTCACCAGTACCTGGCTTAACTCAGATTTTTGACAGGTCTATTGTCCATTGCTAGGTAGGTGCTCTGTCACTTAAGCCATGCCAGTAGCCTTTTAAAAATTTTGTTTTCGAGGGGTGCTGCTGGGGATCAAACCAAGGATGGTCTCTGGAAGTCACAAGTTTATGGCAGATCTGGTAAACATAATGAGACTGTCTCAAAGAAAAGGTAATACTTAAGAACGAGTTTGACAAAAGTTAAAATTTTAATGCCTCTAACAAGCTGGGCACTGATGGCTCACACCACTAGTTACTCAGGAGTCTGAGATCTGAGGATCACACTTCAAAGTCAGCCCAGGTGAGAAAGTTGTGACACTCTTAACCAGCAAAAGGCAGAAAGGAGAGCTGTGGCTAAAGTAGAGCATTCGCTTTGAGCACGAAAGCTCAAGCTCAACATCTATGCCAAAGTTTAAGCCCCAGGACTGACACATACACACAGGAGTAGGATCTGCAAACTATAAGCATTATTGAATTAAAGAAGATCTAGGCAAACAGAATCACAATCATTCTCTTGACTGTTTTCTTTTAGGTCAGAAATCAGGATTTGATCTCCATACGTGACGCTTTTGCTGATAGTCTACCAACTGAGGCCACACCTCCAACCCCCCAAGAGTTGGTTATTTTTTTTCTTTTTAAAATGTTTATTGTAGACATGAATCATCAGCACAAAGCAAAAAAGACAGCCATTCTGAGCACAAGTGGCTCACATGCCAACCCAGGCAGGGAAGTCCGAGAGATTTTTATCTCCAATAAACCATGCAGAAAAAGCCAGAATTGGCACTGTGTCCCAAATGGTATAGCACTAGCCTTGAGCCAAAAGCTCAGGGACAGCACCTAGGACCAGAAAAAAGTAAAATAAAAAGGTATTGCTACAATGTCATTATTCCCCAACGTAGCTAAAAATTCACTGCATACACCATCCAATTCTCCACCTTGTCTGCCTCCCTTCCTACCTCCCCCTCCCCCTTCCTTCCTTCCTTCTTCCACTGCTAACAGCCAATGCAATTTTTTTTTTTTTTGGTCAGTCATGGGGCTTGAATTTTGGGCCGGGGCGCTGTCCCTGAGCTCTTCATTTCAAGGTGAGAGCTCTACCACTTGAGCCACAGCCCCACTTCTAGATTTCTGGTGGTTAATTGGAGGTAAGAGTCTCATGGACTTTTCTGCTCCAGCTGACTTTGAATTGTGATCCTCAGATTTCAGCCTTCTGAGTAGTTAGGATTACAGGTACGAGCCACCAGCACCTGGCTAGCCATTACAATTTTTAAAAAGAAAATCAGAGATATAGTTCTGAATTTCATTTTATCTGGTGGTGGTTTTTCAGATTATTTTGTCAGTAGTCCTTTAGTAAGCATGTCACCTAGTTTTATGTAATTTAAGAAATCTGACACTAGATGGCAGCATATTGCCACATAACACAGATGTCATAACCAGTATCCTTAAGCAGCTCTATCACATGAAAATCTACAGCAGTTAGACTAGGGTGTTTGTTGTTGTCGTCGTCGTCGTCATCATCGTCGTTGTCATCATAATCGTTGGTCGTGGGGTCTGAACTCTGGGCCTGGGCCCTGTCCTGTCCCTCAGCTCTTCAGCTCAAGGCTAGTGCCTTGAGTGCCACTTGAGCCACAGAGCCACTTCCAGGTTTTTTCTGCTCATGTGGTGCTGAGGAATCTAACCCAGGGCTTCATGCATGTGAGGCAAGCACTCTACCACTGAGCCACCTTCCCAGCCCTAGACTAGGGGGTTAAGGTAGTGAATAATATCAATAGTTTCTCTCTCTCTCTCTCTTTCTCTCTGCCACCTTCCTTTCTCCCTTCCTCCCTTTCCTTTCCTATTTATTTATTAGCTGGGTATGGTGGCTCACATCTGTAATCCTAGCTAATCAGAAAGCTACCCTCCTACCCATCCCTCTCCCATCCAGCACTGGCAGTGATGGGTCAGATTCATAGCTAGCAAGCTTTAGCACAAACAAGAGAAGCTTCTAATAACATTGTTAGGTCCAAATAGCCAAATGTCCTTATCTTGAGGCCCCAGAACAGTGCCTTGATTCAATAATACTCCCACCTCTTTCCCAGACCAGATAAACTCATGAAGCAGGCACAGACTCAAATGTACTCCCAGTGTGGACCTTGAGCAGATACGCAGCCCTTGCTTCCTCCCTAGCTCCAGCTGTGACCTTGTTTCCACCATTTCTCTCATTCTGGTTATTTCCAAACCACTCCTATTAGACAGTTCTAGTGCTCTTTCAGACCCACTGTGAATATTTCAGAGTGAATCTCTTGCTTTGGCTGAAGGTTCCCCCATGCAGTTGTGTGTGTGTGTGGCACATGCGTGTGCATGCATGCGTGTGCACGTGTGCTAGTCCTAGGACTTGAATTCAGGGCCTGGGCACTGTCCCTATGGCTTTTTGCTCAAGGCAAACATAGAGCTACTGGTTCTACGTTTAGGTGGTTAATTGGAGGTAAGAAATTCATGGACTTTCTTGACTGGGCTGCTTTGAACCAGGATCCTCAGCTCTCAGCCTCTTGCGTAGCTAGGATTACAGGCATGAGCCACCAGTCCTATTGTTGTTGTTTTTGTTTGTTTGTTTTGTTTTCTAATAAACCCATGCTGCTATTCTGTCTGGCCTTTTTCCTCTTTTTGAATCTAGCAGACATTGCCTTCCCTACTGCAGATTTCCTCCTTGAACCATGAGGGTTGTTAGGTCCCAAGAGCCCTTCGCTCTTATCTTGAGGTCCCAGACCAGAGCCTTGATTTACTAACACTCCCTCATTATCCTCTCTCTAACTGGCTGAACTCCTGTGTCTTGAGTTGTGCTCAATTGGGCCTTGAGCACAAAATCCCAGTCCAGCTTCTTCCCTGCCCTCAACTGTGACCCCTCTCCACGAGAGTTATGTCCTACCATTAGTTTTCTTCATACCAACCCTCACCAGACAATGTTGGTATCTCCACTACAAATACACCATGAGTAAGCTAGGAGGCTGTAGCTCTAGCTGGGGAAGGAGGGTTCCCCTTCTACAGGTTTTTCCCCCCAATAAACCTATGCTGGAGTTGAGCCTTCTCTTGTCTACTATGTGCCTTTTTGAACCTAGCCAGGGTAGAGAGCATACATTTGCCTTGTCTAGAGTGTTAGATTAGTATTAAAATCTATAACAGGCCGGGCACAGGTGGCTCACACCTGTAATCCTAGCTACCTACCTAGGAGGCTGAGATATGGGGATCACCATTCAAAGTCAGCCCAGGCAGGAATCCCCATGAGAATCTTATCTCCAATTAACCATCAGAAAACTGGAAGTGGTGCTGTGGCTCAAGTGGTAGAGCACTTGCCTTGGACACCCCATGACTGACAAAAAAAAATAAATCTAAAACAGTTTTTTTTTGTGTGTGGGGGTGTCTGGTTGTGGGGCCTGAACTCTGGGCCTGGGCTCTGTCCCTCAGCTCTTCAGCTCATTGCTAGCACTCTACCACTGGAGCCACAGTGCCACCTCTGGCTTCTTTTTTTTTTTTGCTTATGTGGTGCTGAGGAATCGAACCCAGGGCCTCATGCATGCAAGGCAAGTGCTCTAACACTGAGCCACCTACCCAGACCTCTAAAACAGTTTTAAGGACAGACATGAGAGAGTTTTAGTGGTAATAATTCATGAACTATTAGAGAGAATATTAAGAAAAGTTGGAACTACAGGTCAAGTAGGAGAGTACCAGCCGTGAAGCAAAAAGACAAGGGAGAGCCCCAGGCCCTGAGTTCAAGAGTACAACCCCACACCCAAAAAAAAAGAGTACAAACCCCTGTGTGTGTGTGTGTGTGTATTATTATTATTCTTAAAAGAAAAAAAGCTAAGCCCTGGTAACTTATGCCTTGAGATCATCTAAGGATTACAGTTCAAAGCCAGTCCAGGCAGGAAAGTGTGTAAGACTGTTATCTCCAATTAACTGCCAGAAAATGGGAAGTAGAGCTGAGGTTCAAAGTGGTAGAGCACTACTTAAGTATAAAAGCCTAGGCTCTGAATTCAAGCCCCATGACCACCAATTAAAACACACACACACACACAAATCCTGAGCAACAAATCTCTTTTTGAGCCAGGTTCTAGTGGCTCATGCCTGTAGTCCTAGCTCAGGAGGTTCAGATCTGAAGATCCTGGTTGGAAGTCTTGAGAAACTCATCTCCAAATGACCAGCAAAAGACCAGAAATGATAGTGTGGCTCAACTGGTAGAGCACCAGCCTTGAGAGAAGAAGCTAAATAAGTGCATAAGGCCCTGAGTTCAAGTCCCAATACTAGCACACACACACACACACACACACACACACACACACACACACACACACACACAAAGAAGGAAGTTAGTGCCATCTGTTTATGAAAAATTAAGCCTTTTAGAAAGCAGATTTGTAGGGCTGAGAATGTGGCTTTGTGGTGGAGTGCTTGCCTAGCATGCATGAAGCCCTGGGTTTGATTCCTCAGTACCACATACACAGAAAAGCCAGAAGAGGCGCAGTTCTGGCCTTGAGCAAAAGAAATTCAGGGACAGCGCCCAGGCCATGAATTCAAGCCCCAGGACTGGCACAAAAAAAAAAAGGAAAAAAGAAAGCAGATTTGTAATTAAAGAAAACATTGAGCTGAGTGTAATGGTTCATGACTGTAATCTCAAAATTTAATAGACTCAGGCAGGAGGATTGTGAGTTTGAGGCCAACCTAGGCTAAATATTTGAGACCCTGCTTAAAAAAGAAATAGGTCCAGGAAATGGAAACAAGCATTCTCTTCATTGCTGTTTTCATTTTCTGTTCTTTTTGTCTTGTTTTATCTATCGTTGGGAGGGTGAGGGGAGGCACAGAAATGGAGGGACAAAGAAGTGGTACTCACTAGACACTATGTGGAAAATGAACATACAACGTGTGGCTGAGGCTGGGAGGAAAAACTGGGAGGAGGAGGGAAGGGGTGACATTGTCCAAAAAGAGATGTACTGTTTTGAAAAAAATTTTTTTTTCTGGTCCTAGGGCTTGAACTCAGGGCCTGGGCTCAGTCTCTGAGCCTCTCTGTGCTCAATGCTAGCGCTCTACCACTTGAGCCACAGCACCACTTCCAGCTCTTTCTGTTTATGTGGTTCTGAGGAATTGAACCCAGGGCTTCATGCATGCTAGGCAAACACTCTACCACTAAGCCACATTCCCAGCCCAGAAGTGTACTCTTTACCTGACTTATGTTAACTGTAACCCCTCTGCACATCACTTTTATAGTAACAGTAATAAATATTTAACAAGTAGAGACAATGAAGATAATAGTTACCTGAGAAGCACCCTATGTTGTTCAGTGTGCATGTGAAGTTCATATGTATCCACTGGGGTAGATGTACAGACTTTTAGAATTGGACCTAAGAATTAAAGGACTTTCCTACCTCTGCTGGCTTCAAACGTTAATCCTTATAACTCAGCCCCCCTGAGCAGTTAGGATTATAGATATGAGCCACTAGCCCTCAGCTGGGTCTTGCAGCCTTGCTTAGCTTTTCTGTTTCAGGTTGACACTCAACCACCTGAGCCATACTTCAACCTCCAGCTTTTTGTTCCAGTTAACCAACTAGAGATTAGAGTCTCTCCTATTTTCCTGCCCAGGCTGAACTGGAACCCAGATCTTCAGATCTCAACCTCCTGAGTAGCTAGGATTACAGGTTTGAGCCATAGGTTCCTGGAGGTTATGGCTCTTTTATGCTCCATCAGTGAAAGGCTCATTATTCCTGAGTCAGAATTATTCTGAATCTCAATGTCTACAGCTTGCTGATGTAACTTTATAACAGATAAGTTTATTGTCTACATAAAGCATATATTTTGGGTGAATGAATGAATGAATTTTTGCTGGTCCTGAAGCTTGAACTCTGGGGCTTGGGTGCTATCCCTATACTTTTTGTTCACCGCTAGCGCTCTACCACTTGAGCCACAGTGCTATTTTTGACTTTTCCTGTGATTTAATTGGAGAAAAGAGTCTCAGAGACTTTCCTGCCAGGGCTGGCTTTGAACTGCAATCCTCAGATCTCAGCCCCCTAAGTAGCTATAATTACAGGTCATGAGTCACCAGTGCCTAGCTAAATTGTGTGTGTGTGTGTGTGTGTGTGTGTGTGTGTGTGTGTGTGTGTGTGTGTGTGTGTGTGTGTGTGTGTGTGTGTGTGTGTGTGTGTGTGCTGGTCCTAGGGTTTGAACTCAGGGCCTGGGTTGCTGTCCTTGAGCTTTTTTTCCCTGCAAGGCTAGCATTCTACCACTTGGGGCACAGCTGGACTTCTATTCGTTTTGGTGCTTAATTGGAGATTAGAGTCTCATGGACTTTCCTGCCAAAGCTGTCTTCAAACTGAGACAATAAGATCTCAGCCTCCTAAGTAGCTAGGATCATAGGCATGAGCCACCAGTTCCTGGCTTACACATCATGTTTGATAAGCAGGCCATGACCAGGGCTGCGGCCATCAGCCTCAAACAGCTGACATTTAGTGAGGGAGGTTCCCAGTGTCATAAGTACAGAGAAGGAAACAGAATAGATGAAGTTATTTCCTCAAGGTCTCCCAGTTAATATACATGAAGATGAAAGTGGAGGACTCCAAAGTCTCTGGGACTGACCTGTTATCAGGGGGCATCCATGGAAGCACAATATGCATATCTGGGGGCAGTAGGTAAGAACAGCTTCCACAGCATCATCCGTCAGATTGACACAGTGCCCCATGTGAATCTCCTGTTATGAAGAAGAAGAAGAAATCAATATGTAGCAAAAGATTATGTCTGATTAATCTTAAAACTACTGAATGAACCCAGTGCTGGTGGCTCATACCTGTAATCCTAACTACTCAGAAGGCTGAGAGCTGAGGATCATGGTTCAAAGTCAACCTGGGTAGAGGTGAGACTGAGACTCTTATTCTAATTAACCAACAAAAGCCAGAAATGCAAATATGGCTCAAATGGTAGAGCTCCAGCCTTGAGTGAAAAAGCTAAGCAAGAGCACAAGTACCGACACACACACACACACACACACACACACACACACGAAAGTAAAAGATGAAAGCAAGGAAGGATGACATTGTCCAAAAAGAAATATACTCAGTACCTGACATGAAACTGTAATCTCTCTGTACATCACCTTTATAATAACAAAAAATAAATTAAGAAAAAACTCTTCTACTGAAAAAGGAGGAGGAGAAAGCACATCTACAGTAACAGTATGAAAAAGTTGGGATGGGGAAGTGGCTGGGAAAGTGGCTCAGTGGTAGAGCACTTGCCTTGCATGCCTGAGGCCCTGGGTTTGATTCCTCAGCACCACATAAGTAAAAAGAAAAAATCCGGAAGTGGTGCTGTGGCTCAAGTGGCAGAGCTCAAGCCTTGAGGTGAAGAGCTGAGGGACAGCGCCCAGGCCCAGAGTAGTTCAGGCCCCACGACCGAACCCAAAAAAAAAGAAGGAAAGAAAAATAAAGTTGGGAAACCATTCAGATACAAAAACAGTCTACTCACAACAAACAAACACAAACCAACTAAATAGAAAGGACCAGTATAATCCTAAAGAACTTTGGACGATAAACTAGCTTTGAAGCCAGGTGCAGGTGGCTCCCACTTATAATCTTAGTTACTCAAGAGGCTGAGATCTGAGGATTCAGGTTTAAAGCCAGTCTGAATAGATAACAGGCTCTTATCTCCATTTAACCAGAAAGAAAGCCTGATATAAAGGCTTGATTCAAATGGTAGAATACCAGCTTTGAGCAAAAAAGCTAAGGGATAGCACCCAGGCTTTGAGTTCAAACCTGCGTACCAGCATAAAAAGAAAAAAAAATTAAAAAAGGAAAGAAACATAAAAACAGGCCTGGAAGGTATCAGTCTAGTGATAGAGCATGATAGGGACATGAACATGAAATATACGTCTAAACAAAGACTTGTATCTAAGTCTAAACTGGAAACAAGTGAAATATCTACCATATGATGAAAGTATAAATAAAACTGTGCAGATCTGTATTGCAGAATACCATTCAGCAAGAAAAGGCAGTGTCATTAACACTGAAGCCATAAACTTTGCACTAAATGAAAGAAGTGAAAACAGAAAACAAACAAAAACAATACAACAAAAACAGAAATGACACCAGTGGCTCACACCTATTATCCTAGCTATTCAGGAGGCTAAGATCTGAGAATTGTGGTTCAAAGCCAACCTGGGAAGTAAAGTCCATGACACTCTTTCCTCCAATTAATCACCAAAAAGCTGGAAGCAGAGATGTGGCTCAAGTGGTAGAGCACTAGACTTGAGCACAAAAGCTCAGTAACAACATCCAGACCCTGAGTTCAAGCCCCACACAAAAACAAAACAAAAATAAAAATAAAAAATAACAGACTGTATTCTCAACTCTCTTCTGATATATGTCGATCCTTGTGTCCAAAGACTGAATACTAATTTAAGATCTTTTAATGGTTCTGGGGATTGAACCCAAAATTTGGAGCATGCTAGGCAAGTGCTCTACTCTTGAAGCCACACATTTAGGCTTCTATTTTTATTTTGTGTTTGAGCCTAACTTTGTCACTCAAGATCCTTCTGACTCTACCTCCTGAGCAGTTGGGATTACAGGTATACACCACCATGACTGGCTCTAATTTAAATCTTTTTCAAAATGGTTGTAGAAAGTGTCTACTAATAAAAATAAGAGTCTGATAGGCACCAGAGTTTCATGCCTGTAATTCTAGCTGCTCAGGAGGCTGAGAGCTAGTCTGCTAGGACTTTCCTGCCAATCTGGCAGGAAAATCTGATACTCCAATTAACCAGCAAAAAGACAGAAGTAGAAGTACTGCTCAAGTGTCAGAGCACCAGTGGAAGAAGCACTGAGTGGAAAAAGCTAAGGGAACACAAGAGACCCTGAGTTCAAGCCCCAGCACTGGCACAGACACACAAAAGTTAGGTTTTTTGTTTTTGGGGGGTTTTTTTTGGTCCGTCGTGGGGCCTGAACTCTGGGCCTGGGCGCTGTCCCTCAGCTCTTCAGCTCAAGGCTAGCGCTCTACCACTTGAGCTACAGTGCCACTTCCGGCTTTTTTCTTTTTGCTTATGTGTGCTGAGGAATCGAACCCAGGGCCCCATGCATGCAAGGCAAGCACTCTACCACTGAGCCACCTTCCCAGCCCCGAAAAAATTAGTTTTTTTGTTTTGTTTTTGTCGGTCATGGGGCCTGAACTCAGGGCCTGGGCACTGTCCCTCAGCTCAAGGCTAGCACTCTACCACTTGAGCCACAGCGCCACTTCCAACTTTTTCTGCTTATGTGGTACTGAGGAATCGAACCCAGGGCCTCATGCGTGCAAGGAAAGCACTCTACCACTGAGCCACCTTCCCAGCCCCAAAAAGTTAGGGTTTTTTTGTTTTTGTTTTTGTCGGTCATGGGGCCTGAACTTAGGGCCTGGGCACTGTCCCTCAGCTCAAGGCTAGCACACTACCACTTGAGCCACAGTGCCACTTCCAACTTTTTCTGCTTATGTGGTACTGACGAATCGAACCCAGGGCCTCATGCATGCAAGGAAAGCACTCTACCATTGAACCACCTTCCCAGCCCACATAAAAGTTAGTTACATCAACTTTACAGATATTTTCAAATTACCTCTAACTTCTTAGCACATGGTCCACTAACCAACGCAAGCACACCACTGTCAGAGACCTAAGTCAAGGAAAAAGAAACAGCCCATAAATGGAGAAAATAAAAACAGAACTTTCTAGAATGGATTAATCACTTAGCTATAATTATCTCCAATCTCCTTACATCCCTTCCACCTCTGTCGCTTAAAGCAATGAAGGGCACGATGCCAAATTCTATTATAATTATTTAACCACCCAAAACATGAAATAGTAAAAAAAAAAACTTTATTTTTTGTCAGTTGTGGGTCTTGAACTCTGGGTCTGGGAACTGTCCCTGAGCTCTTCAGGTCAAGGCAAGTGCTCTACTACTTAAGCTGCAGCGCCATTTTTAGTTTTCTGGTGGTTAACTGGAGATAAGAGTCTCACAGACTTTCTTTGCTCAAGCTGGCTTTGAATTGTGATCCTCAGATGTCAGCCTCCTGAGTAGTCCTGGGGCTTGAATGAGTTAGGGCCTGGGTGGTCTCCCTGAGCTTTTTTACTCAAGGCAGGTGTTCCACCATTTGAGCCACACTTTTGCCAGACCTGGGGCTTGAACTCAGGGCCTGGGCACTGTCCCTGAGCTTCTTTTGTTCAAGGCTAACACTCTATCACTTGAGCCACAGCGCCACTTCCGACTTTTTCTTCTTATGTGGTGCTAAGGAATCGAACCCAGGGCCTCATGCATACAAGGCAAGCGCTCTACCACTGAGCCACCTTCCAAGCTCCATTTTTGGCTTTTTGCTGGTTAAACTGGAAATAAGAATCCTACTGACTTTCTTGCCTAGTCTGGCTTCAAACAGTGATCCTCTGATCTCAGCCTCCCGAGTAGCTAGGTCTACAGGCATGAGCTAGTCATTTTAACAATAGAGAGAATGCTGTTGTGATTAGTCCTGGGGATAATTGTGTGGATACAAAATGAAGTTATTTCATTTACCTGGCTGGCAGAAAAGTCAACGCATTGCAAAAAGGGACAGTTTTGTCCTAGAGCATGTAAGGCCATGTCAGTAATACTCAAGCATCCACCTAAGTCAATGATCTTCAGCAGCCGGCAGTTGAGCGCAAGTGCAAGGACACCTTCATCAGTGAGGCCGCAGCATCTTTTCAAAGAAATCTCATGCAAGTAAGAGCAAGATGCAGCCACAGCTTTTATTCCTGGAGAAAAGCATAATGACATACCCATGAGTGGCAGGTGTGAATTTGTGAGCTGTAAAATGAAGCATTCACAAAGAAACAAGGAGGATAGAATTACTGCCTCAAGTGAACACCACAGGAAAGTCGGTGTGACTTGAGCTGAGCTGTGGCTCAAGTGGAAGGGTGGTAGCTTTGAGAGAGAGAGAGAAAAAAAAACCCTCAGAACAGTGCCTTTGCATTAAAGTCCTAGGACCTGCACAAAAACAAACAAAAAACAATCCAAAACAGTAGATAACTTCTTCCCATGAAGAAATTCAAACACAGACAGACTAACTTATCCTATAGGATAAGATTTACTGATTTATTTATTTACTTTTTATTTTTTTGTGTGCCACAACTGGATCTTGAACTCAGGGCCTCATACTCTTGCTTGTTTTTCTACTCAAGGCTGGCACTCTACCACTTGAACCACATCTTCACTTCTAGCATTTTGGTGGTTAGCTGGAGATAAGAGTCTCAGATGTTCCTGCTCAGGCTGGCTTCCAACTGAGATCCACAGATCTCAGCCTCCAGTAACCAGCTATGGTTACAGGCCTGAGCCACCAGCATCTGACAACAATGGACTTATAACGTAACAAAGCAAGAGATCCAGGCCCCAAACCTAGCATCAAATACCCTGTAACCAAGAAGTTTGTTGTTTAACCATGAATAACCTTGTGAGCTGATCCTAGAGGTGGTAATGCTCCAGGCCCTTAAATATCAATGAAAAGATGAGCCATGCCAGGTGCTGGTGACTCAGGTTTGTAATCCTAGCTGCTCAAGAGGCTGAGATCTGAGGATCATGCATGGTTCAAAGCCAGCCTCGGCAGTCAAATCCGAGACACTCTTTTTTTTTTTGTCAGTCGTGGGGCCTGAACTCTGGGCCTGGGCACTGTTCCTCAGCTCTTCAGCTTAAGGCTAGTGCTCTACCACTTGAGCCACAATGCCACTTCCGGCCTTTTCTGCTTATGTGGTGCTGAGGAATCGAACACAGAGCCTCATGTATGGAAAGAAAGCACTCTACCACTGAACCACCTTCCCAGCCCCCAAAGACACTCATTATCTACAACTAGCAATAAGCCAGAAGTGGATGTGTGGCTCAAGTGGTTGAGCGCCATCCTTGAGGGTAAAAGCCAAGCAAGAATGTAAGGTCCTGATTCAAGTTCTAGTACTGTTAGTGAAATGAGCTCCCTTCAATAGCTTATTCGACTCCTTCCCTCCTCCACAGTTTAGCATGCTCCCTTCCTAGGCAACAGTAGGCCCAAGTAGTAAAGGCAGTAAATAATCAACTTCCAACCCCCTTTACCTTGGGATGGCACTTCTCTGGGGCAGCTACCACCGTATAAGGAAGGCAACAGCAGCCGGGCGCGGGTGGCTCACATCTGTAATCCTAGCTACTCAGGAGGCTGAGATCTGAGGATTGTGGTTCAAAGCCAGCCTGGGCAGGAAAGTCCGTGAAACTCTTATCTCCAATAAACCACCAGAAAACTGGAAGTGGCGCTCTAGTTCAAGTGGTAGAGCACTAGTCTTGAGCTGACGAGCTGAGGGACAAAGTTCAGGCCCAGAGTTCAAGCCCCACGACAGAAAAAAAAAAAAGGCAACAGGAGCCCCTTAGAGTGACCTTCAGGTCTGGGCAGCTGCAGGACCCTTATCTACTATTTGGACAGCAGCCATACATCCTAGTCTGCCATGATGAAGCCCCTGATCCACACTTCCACACCATCTGTGCCTCCTAGCCCCTTCTAGTGAAAAGTGGAAAAATACCGACAGCCTCCCTATAGCTATTCAGGGCCTACCCCCCTCTCTGTATCTGGGTACAAGGGTCAACGATCATCTGGCCCCGAAGGAGAACAATCCGGACTGACTAAGCAAGCATTCCCAGACGCCCACCCAGATCTGGACTCAGGAGATAATAGCCACCTGGCGACTGGTGGTCTGGAAAAACTCAGGACTTTTACGAGTTATCAAAAATATGTTAAATTAATGGTACATTATAGATACTAACCGCCTACTTCTGCTTCTGTACCTCGCTTTTGCCTAACAGTAGAATAAGTAACTTCGTTGTTGTACGCGGTATACCACAAAAGACTAAGCCTAAGCATCTCCTAAGACTGCAGATAAAGCCGGTCAGCAAACAAGGGCAGGCTGTCCGCACAGACGGTGCCTGTTTTCACAGGGCGCCGGAAAATACTTGGAATTCCAGGGAGCCCCTCCCGGGCTCCCGCCACTGTTACCTAAGCGACCAGCCCTGCAGTTCCCACCAAGCCACATTTGTAATTTTTCGCCAATCAGTTTGGAGCACCTCAACCCCTAAGCCACCCTATCCCCTACCCCCAATCCTTTCCCGCTCTCGAGTGCGCCAATTATACACCATTATACGCCGAATGAGATGATTCGCCACAGAATGTTAGGACGACTGTCAAGCCCTGGCCCCGCCACTAAAACTGTATAAAAAGCCTTGTAACCGCGGATTCGGGGCGCTCAGCGTCACTAGTCCCGAGTGCGCTGAGGCCCGAGTTCGAACTCGCAATAAAACGACCCTTGCTTTTTGGCTTTGGACTCTGGTGATCATCTATGGGGGGTATTAGAATTTGGGGTACTTCACTAGCCCCTTCTAACCCTCCCTAGGTTATATAGGTCACCTCAGAAAACAGTGCTTCTTTGTGAGAATGAGTCTTCCGGCTCCCTTTCCCGGCAATAAACCTTTCTTTTTTCTTTGTACCTGGATGTCTGCATGGTTCTTAATCTTAATCTTACAAGTACTGTCACCAAATGCAGGTGAGGGTTAATCAAGTTTCTCTTTAAATGTAGGAACTCGCCAGGCGCAGGTGGCTCACACCTGTAATCCTAGCTACTCAGGAGGCTGAGATCTGAGGATCATGGTTCAAAGCCAGCCCGAGCAGAAAAGTCCGTGAGACTCTTATCTCCAACCAACCACTAGAAAACAGGAAGTGGTGCTGTGGCTCAAGTGGTAGAGCGCTTGCCTTGAGCTGAAGAGCGCAGGGACAGCGCCCAAGCCGAGTTCAAGACCCGTGACTGACCAAAAAAAATGTAGGAACTCTTCACTTCGGGTCTTTGACTTGATCACAGTGTAAGAATTCCTGGACAAGTCACCATGGTAAGAAAACTTGGCACAGCTTTATTGAGGAAGTATGCAAGCAAGCAAGCAGACAGACAGGCAGAAGGGCAGGGATGCACTTTAGCATGCCCTCATAGGGAGACAGAGAGACGCACAGCTCCTTGGGCTGTTGGGGTATTTATATGGTAAAGACAGGGGTCTGGTTTCATAGTTATGCCAAGATAGGTGCTTTGTCTTTGCTCTAATCACACCTGGTGTATTCTTCCAGAGTTTCCAGGTAAGAATACACCCTGCCTTAAAACAGATCCTTATCCTTGAGATAAGTAGGAGCCCTGCTATCTGAATTTTAGGCAGGAGGTTGCTTAGGTTTGGAGCATTTCTCCCAGGAAGGCATAATCCTGTCAGACAAGTGTTAATTCTTGGGGTCAGGAATGCATCCTGTTGTTTCTCTTTGAAACAAAGATGGCACTTCTGAGGAACCTAAGCAACGTCATTTTACTTAAGACCCCATTTCAGTTCTGCAATTTAACCCTTGACCTACTTCATCCCCAATGCCTTGCACAAACAATTCTCGGAACCACAGATGGTGTTTGCTTGAGGCAAGATGTCGGAATACCTGAAATGCCAGAACAGCCCCTCCAAGGGTCTGATGACCATTATTTAAACCAGAAACCCTGTAGTTTAGCATATATGTTCTTGAGACAACCGTGTGGTACAAACGAACCAGTTTAAAGTACATCAGCCCCTTGATCTAAGCAACAACCTGTTTCTGGTCCTTTCCCACTTTGTAGTGCACCAATCATACTATAGAATTGTTCTATGATTTTCCCACGGTGTGCAATGATTTGTTACAAGATGCTATGATATATGCAAAGCCCCTGCCTTCCCTAAAAATGTGTATAAAAAGTGCTGTAACCCAGGGCTCGAGGCCTCTCAGCATCATTGTTGGCTGCTGCCATGTTCGCGGGGGGACCAAACTTGAGCTTGCAATAAAGACTCCTTTGCTTTTGCATTGGTGACGGTCTCTGGTGGTCTTTTGGGTAGGGATTTCCAAACTTGAGCATTACACTTCTATGTTTCTAAATACCATTATTTCTGAGTTGCCTTTGGAAAGTGAAGGACTAAGCTAACTCCATTCTAAAAGCAAGCCATCATTTCCTGTGAAACTGACCTCAGGTTGAGCTTAAGGGACAGTTATTGGAAAAACCAGTTCTTGGAAGGTTCTCGGAAAGCCCGCAAAAGCCCACAATCGAAACTGCAATTATACCCCTAGTAGCCAGTTAGACAAGGGTTGAGAAACACAACCCTAGTTACTGAAAACTGGACGGGATGGTCAGATTCCTGGTAGAAGGATCTACAGGGTCAGGGTGACCTAACCCAACAACAGGAACTGCCTTAACCTGTAAACTCCTGGCCACGACCAAACCAAATCGTTTAAAAATATATTGCTGCCAGCATTACTGTGATCAGTCTTATGTATCCCAACCAATTATCTGCTTGCTATATATGAGTTAACCAATCCTGTAACTACTAAGCTGGAAAGCCCCTATCCTTGCTGGAAATGATTATGCCCCTAACCAATGAGCCTACCCTGAAATTTGCCCGTGAAATGTTGACTAATTACGTAAAAGCCTGTGAACCTTAAACCCCCTCCTATTTGCAGGAAACCCTATAAGAACCCTGCTGAGCATGTGGTTGAGGTTCACAACTCTGATCAACTGTGTCTGTGACGATTTTGAGTCCAGGCTCGAGCTTGCAAACAAAAGCTGTTTGCATTGGTCGTGGTCTCTAGGGATCGCTCGGGGGTCTCGAGTTCGAATCTAACAAAGGATTTGAAAAGGATTGCCTTAAAAATGTTTGTATCAGAGTGAAAAAGGGAAGAAGACAAACCCCAGAAAGTTTA